ATTTTATTTTTTACTGCTTTCATTTTAATAATTAGTATTGCACTTTAATTGAAACGTGGTTTTTCTTATTGCTTTTATTATTAGTGTTGCGTTGAAGAATATTCGTGTTCTTGAAGTAGTGTTGCGAATATAGAATGCCCAAAATTTCACCACTGATGTGGTGGATATATATTCCTGCTCCTGGGAATCACCTGTTGCAACTGCAAGAGTTGCATATAGGTGGTCATACATCAGCAGCCAGAACTATGGCTGCCCTGGATTTTTCGACATTAGTGTTGCGAATTGTTTTGATACGAGTGCATAAATTAGTATTTATTAGTATTGCGTTAATAATTGAATTATCTTATTTTGATTATTTTCGCGAGTTCTCTGCCCTTTTTTATTCATTCTTTTTTTGTAAATGTTAAATTAATTGTCATTTTAAATATCATTAAGCACTCTTCGCGGTTGATTTTGAAAATTGTCCGTTATCAGACAATTTAGTGTGTTAGTGTTGCGAAATTACAATTTATTTATTCCACTCACGGTTTCTTACGCGGGTTCATATCGAGTGGAAATATTTATTTTTGTGGCTATTTTGGTCACCATTGTATTTTCTTTTTCAGCACCCTTTTTCACTGAAATATTTGGTAATGAAAATACTGCTGTAATGTGTATATGTTTGTTTTCCATCCTTTTTTTCCATTTATTTTTCTTTTCATTTTATCTTTTTTACAATAATTCGTAATATTATTAATTTTCGAATTTTGGTTTGCTTTAAAATAATTTCACTCGCGATACTTGTTTATTTTCAAGATAAATGTTTTGCATAATAATCGTTTTGTGTGTGTAACTCGACTGTTTGTAGATATAATAAAAATTACATTTTTCTTTTTTTCATGTTCGGGAATATTATTGATTGTTGTTTGTAAAAATACATACAAATAAGTTGCATTAATATGTGATATGTCTTCTTTCAGGTGTCATTGTTTTGTTCTGTTTCCCTAACAATTAATCCAGTAATTAAGTTTGTTTCAGATTTATTAATTGGCAACTGTTTCTTATCCCAGTGTCTAACATCTTTATCAATATTTGTACTTATGTGAGTATGTCGGAGGCCCAGATATGAAATCATATTCATGAAAGGATATGACTTAGAAGGAAATGTTGTGTAAGCCTCATTTATTTATTTATTTATTATCCTTACCACAATTTTTATTTTTAATCATATGTACTATTATTTATAATAATTTTACTACGTTTTCTACAGAGTGTTTAATTTAGGAAAGATTATGGTGTCAACGGAAACTGTGTGAATGATTTTAACCTCCACACAGTGTCTCTTTCATATCCAGATTTTCCTGATCAAATCTTTGGTTTCTTGTGTATATAGGAGGTTTGAAATTCTCTCTAGATTTGTGATAGGAAGGTTTGGTGAAAACCCTCTATATTTGTGATAGATAGGGGTTTTATAAAAATTTATCTGATTTTTCATAGGATAGTGTGAAAAATATCCTTGATCTCCCTATGTTTGGAATTATAGAATACCTTTAATTTCGATATAAGTAGGGCTGATTATTTTTCTTCTAGGTTTTTTGGATTACTGAAACCTGGAAGTCACATTTTATTTTCCCGTGTAAGTAGTTATCTTTGGATCATTTTGGTTGTTTGTGTTTGTTTTTTCCTTTAGATACTGAATGGAAGGTGAATTGAATTTACAATAGATAGACTATTCTAAAATTAATGATAATTTATGGTTATACTTTTTCATCTTAAGTTAGGATTATGATGAAGTTAGTTGTAAGTTACGATCAGTGCTAGCATATTAGTTTTTAAGTTAAGTAAAATTTTTAGTTTTAAGAAATATTAAGTAGTATTAAGTGGTAATGGGTTGCATGAAGGTTTGAATTGCATGAAGTATTGCATGAAGTGGGTAGTATTAAGTAGTGTTGGGTAGTGTTAAGTAAGTAGAATATATTTAATGCTTTGAGAGATATTTCATTTTTCTTTGCTTTTTTTAATTATTTAATTGTCAACTATTTTACATTTTCAAGCTAATATTGAGAAATTGTAGGATAATATCATCTCACATAATTTATCTCTTTCTTTTATGTTTAATTTGTCTTCTGTTTCCAGGTTTTATTTATGTTTCTTTTCCAGGTTTAATTTATCTTTTATTTCAAAGTTTAATTTATCCTTTACTTCCAGGTTTAATTTATCTTTTATTTCCAGGTTCAATTTACCTTTTACTTCTAGATTCAGTCTTCCGCGTCGGTTTTTCGTTTAAATTCTTTTGATGTTTGATTTACACAGCGATCAAAGATTGAACGTTTTGCAAATGTACATCAAAAGAGAAATTTATTTGTTTGTTGATTTTTACATGAAAGGAAGGGAGGTTGGGACGTGGTTAGGGACGATTACCGTATTAATATTTTACAGTGAAGATCGATAAATATGTATTCACATTAACATCTAATGATACATTCATATCAAGAACACCGAATTATCTGAATTTAAAATATTGTTATTGATTTGAGTTATTTCTCAATCACCACAATAAATTTCATTTCTTCAAATCGAACGAATATATGTAAGTACATATTCCAGTGATACATTATCACGTTTCAAATATAAGATTTTTGACTGTCATAATATTTTCCAGAGTACTGGAATTTGCTATGAAATATACTCATCAAACGGTTCTGGCCCTTGTACAGAATATTTTATCCAACAAAACGCAAGATATTAGAAGTTCCTTTTGATCCCCTGACTTTTACAGTTCGACGAACGAAACTGTAAACACTGTATAAAAACATCAATCTGCTTGAAATTTGGCCTTGACTGTGAAGCATTCCTTACCTCCCTCCCACTCCCCCCACCTCCCGCGCCGTTAACCGACCGTTGATCGGGACAGTTTTGCTAACGAACAAAGCCGTGTAGCATTGTGTCGCTGGAAATCATGGCGTGAGGACATATCGTTATGTGTATTGCATACCTACTGCGGAATACTTCGACGGCTATTTTGATAGTATTTGCACAACATTATTAGGTTTGTTCAACCACAACACAATTTTCTTTGCCTAAATTAAATTATCGAATATGAATTTCGTCGTATGTTATTCTGATTTACTGCATATACTATTCGCAGATATGTAATGCGTCAACTCTGAAAGTTTTACGAAGTTCAAATCTTCGACTTGTCGTGGGTTTTGAAAGTGGAGGGGGCTGCCAGCTATTTCGACCAATCCGAGCTGACAGTTAGACGACGCTGTGATACTGCAAATTTAAATGTAATATTGAAAGTGACGTCGTTAGAACGCATCACGTAATATCACGTAAGTATTTTATCATGACTACTTGTTGTGTAGTACTTTTATTTTTATCGTTCTACTTTTCATACACTAGCAATTTTTGGTTTAGATTTTCTTTTATCACTCGATAGATCTCACTCTTCTCTAATAGAATTAATGTTTTTTTTTCGATTTTCGCCGTTTTTTTTCGAAATACAGTGCCGAAAGTGGAAAAGTGTGACGGATCGTATTGCGTCGTTATCTTTCGTGGCTTAGTTCTCTGAAATTTCGATTTTTGATTTCGATTTTTCTTTATCACTCGACAGATCTCACTCTTCTCTAATAGAATCAGTGGTTTCTTCTCAATTTTCTCCGTTTTTTTTCGAAATACAGTGCCGAAAGTGGAAGCGTGTGACGGATCATACTGCGTCGTTATCTTTCGTGACCTAGCTTTTTGAAATTTCGATTTTTGATTTCGATTTTCCTTTATCACTCGATAGATCTCACCCCTCCTTAATAGAATCAGTGGTTTTTTTTCGATTTTCGCTGCTTTTTTTCGAAATACAGTGCCGAAAGTGGAAAAGTGTAACGGATCGTATTGCGTTGTTATTTTTCGTGGCTTAGTTCTCTGAAATTTCGATTTTTGATTTCGATTTTTCCTTATCACTCGATAGATCTCACCCCACTTTAATAGAATCAGTGGGTTTTTTTCGATTTTCGCTGCTTTTCTTCGAAATACAGTGCCGGAAGTGGAAAAGTGTGACGGATCGTATTGCGTCATTACCTTTCGTGGCTTAACTTTCTGAAATTTCGATCTTTGATTTCGAATTTTCTTTATCACTCGATAGATCTCACCCCCCTTTAATAGAATCAGTGATTTTTTTTCGATTTTCGCTGCTTTTGTTCGAAATACAGTGCCGGAAGTGGAAAAGTGTGACGGATCGTATTGCGTCGTTACCTTTCGTGGCTTAACTTTCTGAAATTTCGATCTTTGATTTCGAATTTTCTTTATCACTCGATAGATCTCACCGCCCTTTAATAGAATCAGTGGTTTTTTTTCGATTTTCGCTGCTTTTTTTCGAAATACAGTGCCGAAAGTGGAAAAGTGTGACGGATCGTATTGCGTCGTTATCTTTCGTGGCTTAGTTCTCTGAAATTTCGATTTTTGATTTCGATTTTTCTTTATCACTCGATAGATCTCACCCCTCTTTAATAGAATCAGTGGGTTTTTTTCGATTTTCGCTGCTTTTTTTCGAAATACAGTGCCAAAAGTGGAAAAGTGTGACGGATCGTATTGCGTCGTTATCTTTCGAGGCTTAGCTTTCTGAAATTTCGGTCTTTGATTTCGATTTTTCTTTATCACTCGACAGATTTCACTCTTCTGTAATAGAATCAGTGGTTTCTTTTCAATTTCCTCCGGTTTTTTTTTCGAAATACAGTGCCGAAAGTGGAAGTGTATGACGGGTCGTATTTCGTCGTCATTGCACAGCAATCAAGAATTGAACGTTTTGGAAATGTGCATCCAAACAGAAATTTATTTCATTCTTTGTTAATTTTTATGCGACAAAAAATGTGGTTGGGACGTAGTTAGGGACGATTTCCGTGTTAATACTTTACAACGAAATATAAATACATATTACACATATTAATAAATTGACATCAAGAACACAGTATTATCTGAGTCTAAAATGTTGTTATTGACTATTTTTTTTACTTATTTTTCAGTCACAAGAGCAATCTCATTTCCTGGAATCCAAGAATTATATGTAAGTAATTATTTTTTTGGTTAATTTTTACGTTTGAAATATATCACCTTTGACTGTGACAATATTTTCTAGAATACTGGACTTTGCTAAAGAATAAGCTCATCGAACGATTCTGGCCGTGCTACAGAATATTGAATCAAGCAAAATACTAGCCATTGGAAGTTTCTTATGATCGCCTGATTTCTATAGTTCAACGAACGAAACTGTAGACTGCGTATAAAAATATCTACTTGAAATTTGTCCTTGACCGAGAAGCATTCCCTGCCTTCTGCCCCCTGCACCCCCCAGCCGTTCTTTGTTCGGAACAGATTTGCTAACTCACAGTGCTGGGTAGCATTGTGTCACTGGAAATCATGGTAAGGGGACATATCGTTATGTGTATTACATACCTACTATGCAATACTTTGACGGCTATCCTGATACTATTTGTACAACATCATTAGCCTCGTTCAACCACAACACTGTTTTCTTTGCCTAAATTAAATTATCGAATACGAATTTCTCTGTGTGTTATTCTGATTTACTCTGTATACTATTCACAGACATCTAATTTGTCAACTCTGAAAGTTTTACGAAGTTCAAATCTTCGACTTGTCGCAGTCTTTGAAAGTGGAAGGGGCAGCTAAGTTTTTGGACCAATCCGCTGACAGCTAAACGACGCCAAGAATTGTGAATTTCAATCTACTATTGATGCATCGTTGTTAGAACGTATCACGTAATATCACGTAAGTATATTACCATCGTCTCCTTGTTGCATAGTACTTTTATTTTTATTGTTTTAGTTCTCATACATTAGCAATCTCATTGTGACAAAATCAGATAATTTTTCAATTTGTTCTATTCCTCTTAAAAAATATTAATGTATTTCGCTATTAGAATCACATTAGTTACTTAAAACAAAATTTGACACAAATTATTGTCTCCTTTTAATATGGTTGATTATAATTTTGTACATTTGATTTTGATTTCTTCTGTGCAGAATAATCATTGATGGTAGGAATAAGTTTGACTACAATATTATACGATACAGCTGCCAGTATGACAAATGTAGAACGTAACTGCTGTTCATCGAAAACTGGTAATTATTGAACACATTTCTTTTATTCTGAGAATATTCGTATCACAGCATTTTCTTTTCTAATGGTAGAAACAATGGTTGGATTTACTAATAGCTTTTACAAAAGAAATATTAACTTTTAAATTGAAATTCGAGTACGATTATTCTCCTATTTTAATATAATTTGTGATAATTCTACATATTTATGTTAAATTTGATTTTTGCTGTTGCAGATTATTCGTTGATACTAAGAATCAAGTAGAACGTATTGAACGCACCAACAGTCGTGTTGGAGAACGAATAGCAGATACCGTGATGGTTTGTAACCAAAGTCGTGAAATCTGTCAGAATTTGATAATGGCGAACATTAATTATGTTGCAAAGATAAATAGACTCAAAGTGTGTTCATACTTTCATTTTATTCAAACATTGTTAATCTTTAGTGTAATCGTTGAACATTTTTTAATTACATGTTTGATATGATTGTAAAAAATCATAGAATGTTGTAAGATTTTTTGTCGATTTCTTCATTTTATCGTTCTTGTAACATATTACTGTATTTCGGTACTATAGTTATACTGGCTGCTTGTAACAGAATTTATGATCGCCTATTACCTTTTGTTAACATAGTTGAATTTAGCTTTGAATATTTGAATAAAATTTTTGTTTTTTTGTGTACAGGTTTATCTCTGATGACTGGAGTTGCCTGAAAGCGTAAAAGATTCAAAGGATGAATGGCATACTGACAAATGGTCGACTTCACAGCTTTTCATTGAAAGCTGGTAATGCCTAATGTATTAACATACAATAAAAGTAAAAGATTTGCATTATACTTTTGATGTGCCATTATTGATATTTGATACAAAATTTGCAATTACTACATAATTTCTTAGGGTCTTTTCGATAAAACTAGAAATAAGTTAAATTGTTAAATTAATCTTCGTGTTTCGAGAATTTTGTATCAAATCATTCCTTATTTTGAAATGGTCAAAATAAGTCACTTCAAAGGTGTGTTAATAATTTACATATAACTTGAAGTTAATTCATTGCATTTTTCACTATTCAAATAAAGGATTCGAATAACTTTCACAATTTGCTTTATTTGGTTTGTAAAAACTACGTTATTCAAAATAATCATGTAAGTTGTATCAATGAATCAGTTTCGTTTCTAAGATTTTCTAATATTCGGAATCATTTTCAATATTAGTACTTAATTATAGTGGATCAATGTTATATGTGAATAAAAAAAGTTCATAAAAGTAGTACTACGAAAGAAATTGTAATGTACAATTATTAATATATATAATTAATATATATACAATACATATACAT